CTACCATATTAAAGCTTTAAGGTTTAAATTTAAAATGTAAAAAAAAAAAAAAATAATAATAATAATCATTATATTTGGTAGGTTAAATTATGCAGAAAAAATCATTAATGTTGGGATGTTTAGAAAGAAAAGTTATATCAGATAAAATGCATCAGAGGAGTGTTAAAATTGCAAGTTACATATGCAAGTGGAGCACAATATAAGTTAAAAACTTGATGGATTATTTCCAACAATGCATGGAAAAAATAGTTTACGACATGTACAATATCTACAACTCATTCAATGCCAGCCTATTTAGATTAAAATACTGTGCTAATGAAATTTTTACTATAGCAAAGAGAGATACCGTTTTAATAAATGCTGCTGTAGTTTTACCCGGCCGGACCAGTGGGATCGATGCACCTTGACGCTTCAACTGCTCACTAACATCATCAGGATCCAGTTGTAGAAAAGTGTAGTAGTAGTTGAAAAAGGCAATCAACAAAATATTGGTAGGAAGATAGAGAGAACCTACATAAACTTAATCTAGTTATGCTCGATATAAATCCAATTATTAAAAATGAACGTCATTACCCAAATGCAATAAATGATGGCATTCTATTTTACTTCTTCAGTCCATTCTTGGGAGTTACTATTTACCACCCAACAGGAGAAAAATAATCACAGAGGATATCAACAAGCAATATATACCCAACCTTCCATCGAGTCAACCCTTAGGAATATCTATCCTAGTCACCAACAAAACAGTAAGGAAAGTAGCAAGCCATTCCCTAATCATTAACATTGGATTAGGAATTGGGAGTCTGGAACAAGAATCAGAAAGACTCAGTTTTGTGCATCTTTATAGAGCTTGAAAAGGAGAATGATAAGATTCATCTCCTTAATATGTGATTTATTTTTTGCACCAGATGTCTGTATGATGTATTCATGGAAGATGGAATGATATTATTGGATGTTAGCCTTTCCAGCAGAAAACTAGACACCACTACTTTTGGAGCTGGGCAGTTCTACATACCAATCTGATACACTCTAAATTTCAAGATTCTAACAGTCAAAATCTTTAATCTTACCTCCTGGATTCAAAGCTACTGCAGCATTCTTTAGGGTAGAAATACCAGTGAATCGTGCTACAGTACCAGGAAGAGCAAGTGATGAAGTTGAAAATATGATTGGCATCACTCCAGAGCTATTCACCTGGTAATGCAGACAATTATATTAAGACCAAGAGAATAAATTAGGATGCTAAGTGGAAGATGTATTGAGGAGAACATGTCATCTCAATCAAGGGATTTGGGTTAGATGCACATGCAACACCCATAACATAAAAGCAGAATAAGCACTTTAAGGTCAAATGTGGGAAAAATTATATGTTATTATTACACATCATGGCTAGAAAATTGGTGATAATGACAAGTTACAGTTACTCCATTACACTTTCTACCATATAAAAAGTCCATTTTAATTTCATTATGACCTCAATATAAGATAAAAATTATCAGCATCGACACAAAAGAACATCATAACTATAAAAACCACAACTGAGAATACAGACCTTAAAAGGTAGGTAAGCAGATTTTTGAAGCCCTCCACTTCTACTGGTGTATCTTGAGGCATAGTTGAGAGGAATTTTCCTCTCAGCTTCCTGAAATTCTTTGTTGGGACAATTGTTAATATTTCTTCACTTCAACTGATAGAGTTTTTGTTAGGCAAAAGGAGTTGCAGTTACCTGGACATATACAATGCCAAGAACTAGTAGGAAGAATGAAATAATGAGGGAGACAAGCCCAATGTAGTTACCATCCTGAAATGCCTGTGCAACTGTCCTTCCAAAAGATGGTGGCAAGTAGGAGATAATGTTTGTAAATATCAGAAGAGATGTTCCGTTTCCAAGTTTTAGATCTGAGATCCTTTCCCCAAGATACGTAGTAAATACAGAACCAAGAGTCAACAAAACAACTGAGGAAAGAACCCACTGTGTACTAAAATCATTGACATATGGACGAAGATAAAGTACCTGGCCAATTGCCTGTCATGGCAAACAATTATGTGTAAGACAATGCTATTTGAAAAAGCTCATCAGCATATCATGAGTAGAATGCAGGATCTATTAGATAGGCAGCGCTGATATGGATAAAGGAATTTCTAAGATAGAATATTAGAATTTATGATTTAACTATGATCCTGATCACTCTAGTGATGGATCTGTATGTATCAAGTATACCCAACAAACAATAAAACTCATTGTTCGCATATGAGATCCCAGACATCCATGTTTGTGAATTGTGATAGATGAAATGCAATGCTATCAGTGTAAGCACAAAATTCAATCTTCATATGCAAAACTTGAAGTTGCTGCATAAATGAGATAGGTGCTAGCTGGTTAGAGATTGCCATACTCATTCTTATTAATAATTAATACTAAAAAATCTAAAAAAGATCCAGATTCCCACTGTGATAATTATTCCCTCACAATCTAATGAAATCTAATACATACAAAAATCAATACAAAACTACCCAAACACGATATTGGAATGGATAACTTAGGGTATGGGGATTCAAGTTCACAAACAGAATAGTCATCAGAAGTGTAAGCTCCTTACCTGTACTATTGCAAAACCAATTGAAGCATATCTAGTATACTGAAGAATTTTCTTTCTTCCTGCTTCACCTTCTCTTTTCTGGAGCTCTTGCAATTTGGGATAAATTTGAGCAAGTAGTTGAAACACAATCTGTGCATTGATAAATGGAACGATACCAAGAGAGCATATTCCTAGTCTACCAATGCCTCCCCCGGAAAAGGAATCCAAAGTGCTCAAAAAACTGTTCTGATCCAAATTGCCAACAAAAGCCTCTCTGTTAACCCCACCAAGAGGTATATAAATTCCAAGCCGGGATAAGGCTAAATATCCCAAAAGCTTAAGAAATTTCCTTGGTAGTGGACCTTTGAAGAAGTCCCCAAAATCAATGGAACTATCCTCAATTGCAGCTGTCAAAGTCCAAAGAACCACCATTAACTCTCAAAGAGTTATAAAAATTCATATTCTCACACATGAAAATCCTTGATGAACAAGCCAGGAAGCAAACCTGCTAATCCTCGGCTTGAAGGTTTATCCTTTTTTGTACTAGATGCACTCTCAAATGTTGGCGTTAAAAGTGCTACAAAACTTTCCCAAGCACCATGTCGATCACCAGAGACATCTGGATTGATACCCAAGGGATCAAAAACTGATCCCTTGGAGCTGAGAGTGAATTCTAATCAGAAAAAATGGGCTATAACTACCTGTAACTTGCTATTATTTAGAACTTCTAAAATCAAAAGAACAAAGAGTAAAGATAGGATTTTTAGAAGAGAAAACTCAAAAGGGTATCTAGAAAGTACCCGTAAGAAAGCAACCCAAGGTTCCATGATTGGCTGTTGCTGCCGCTGGGCTTTCTGGGTACACTGAAACTAGCTCTGCAGATAGAGGTTCTGAGTCTTGGGGAGGCTTTAGAGTCGAGAGGAGAGAGGTTGGAGATGAAGCTAAGGGGTGAAGACGAAGTTGCTCTGACCGTTATCAACATTATCCTGAATTTGCTGTGTCACTCGCTTCCAGCCATGCTGGGGGGGTTGCTTGATTTCCTCTTCCTCTTTTCTTGTGGACGTTGGACTTGTGTCACTTGTCCAATTACTCTCCTTGCTGGACTTTATAACCTTGGGCCTACATAGAGAATTTGTGAATCAGATCTTCAGTGCCCAGGCCCCAGGTTGCTAGGTCCAAATTATTTGGGCCAAGCTCAATGATGTAATCTGTTGAATTCACCAGGGGACAGAAGGTAGGAGAGAGTGGGAAGGGGTTAAGAGGGTCAAATCATCTAGTAAAGATATATCTTCAAAGATTCAAATATGCAATCTATTTAGAACCAGAAATAGGGACCCAACTTTGAGACCCAACATATTTGGATTGTAGTTGGCAATGATCAAGATTATGTTGTAGGATTGGCAGGGTGGCATGTGCTGCTGGACATCTCTTTCTTGTTTCTTTTTTCGTTCAGCCAAGTTTGGCATTGATTGGCTATAATTCAATTCCTTGTAGGAAAATTAAGGTCTTGCTATACTTGAAAATATCCATGTTCCCTTCAATGAAAAAAATGGAAATAAAGTTAGACATTTGCAAAATCTAGAATGCAAAATAGAAAGATCATGCAACAGTGTTGAAGATCAGGATTTGGACCTTTTATACCTGATTCTGTAAAATATTATAATTTGCAACCATATAGAATGATATTTTGTAGTCCGGCATGGACTATAATGTCATGGCCTTTGAATACGTGAGAGTGATGTTGGATCCTACTCATTCAAAGTTCTAAATTTTGTTATCCGATGCAAGTTATACTACAAAAACCATTTCTAATATCCTAATTTCTTAATCTAAGTCAAGATAATAAAGCTCTTATTGCAGTAGGGAAAAAATCTGCATCAAAGTAGGGAATAGGTTTCCCAGTAGGTGGTAAGGAAGGGGGTGTATGAATCAGCCAGATCGGCCGGCTTTTTAAATTATAGAGAAATGTGGGAGAAAAGTTAATTGAATTAATAATTTAATTAGTGATAGAGGGAACAGGTAAGCATGGTGCTCTAAAAGCCTACATATCTGCAAAAAGATGAGCAAGAAAGAAGGCTTTTTGTGCTTTGTTTGTCACATGCTACATGTTCCATGCCTTTAATTACAACAGCTATAAAAAAATTCTTTGATTCCATACTATAATGATTGAGATTAAATATCTTCAAATGTCCAATTGTTGTATCCCCAAGTGATCTCCATTGACAACTTACAAATATAATAAGAATAAGAGCAAACTTATAGAAGTCTATATATTAGGCACTATATATCCTCATATACTAAAATACTAGTATAGATTTGGGATAGGAGCAAACTTACTGCTTTTTGAAGTTAGGAGGGAAAAAGTTTATGCATTTGGTATCCCTTCCAAGACAATCATTTTCTTTTTAAGGGTTTAGGTAGCCCCAAGTGGGACCTGAATTTAGAATATAAAGAAGAAGATAAAGATTGGGAGACATGGTTTGGTAGATGGGTGGTGGAAGATTAGTGGGCTCTATATCTTCAACATCCTTAAGAATAGTATAAAAGGATAGTTCCAAAGTGGGTTAAAAGCTTGCTTGATTTCCCCTTTTACATTGTTTTGTTTAATGTTGTTTAAAACTCAAGTTTTCAACTTTCTAGTAAAATTTTTCTAATAACTTTACTTGTTAAAACTTTTTAATGTATAACTTTATTTTTTTAAACAATTCTATAAGGAGTTGAATTCAAATCATTGTCGAAAAGAAAAAAAACATACTTAAATATGATTTCATGCTATTGGGCCCAAAGGCCCAAGTGTTTCTATAGTATAACTTTTTTCAAAACAAATATAGTAGAAATTTTTACAGTTTATGTGTTTTATAAAAATCTTTAAAGTATTGTTTGAAAAAGTAATGTAAAACCATATTTTATAATTGGATTGAGTAAGATCTTAAAAGAGGTCGGTGTCACCTTTTAACACAAAGGAAGCAAGAATTGGCTCCTCTACACTTGTCTTGCTTTTCTTGCTTTTCAAAAAGGCATTTATGCAAAAGCATGGAAATTTCTTAGGAAAGTTATGCACCGGCCTTAGGCTTTAGGTGGGAACCTCTTTTTAACGGTTATGGTCTTATTCACAAAAAAGGGGGTTCCAACCGCTGCATCGCCATTGGCTTAGTGGCCGGCGCGCGTGGTCTAGCCTTCTGATCTAGAATCAAACCCTTTAAAAGTCTACCGGCCCTCTAACTAACTCCAACTTTCAAGTACTATTTATCCAAAAAGGAGAAAAACAGAGTTTATTTTAAAAAAATTAAAAAGTGCTTTTTAAATCAATTTATATATATAAAAAAAAAAACTTAAAAACACTCATAGAATTATTTAAATAGTCAGAATAACTTATTTTTGTTTATTTATTCATCAAAGATATTTAATTAATAATTTCATAAACATTTTTACACTTTTTTTTTCTTTCAGGTTCATCTAAAATTCTCAACCAGAAAATAAACTAACACCAGATTCTTACTTCTTTTGCATTCATTAAGATATACATTTCAATTGGCTAAGTCGGTTGATTTTTTGTGGTTGTTATTATCTCAAAAGTGTTGGTTGAAGTCATTTTCATTATTTCATGTGCATGATGAAGTTTTAGACTAGAGTAGATATATACAAACTACAGGGGAGGAATCAAACAAATTAATGAAATGTCATGATATATTCCTAGGAAGAAAAAAAGTTGTGGTTCATGTATATAGCATCTCCTTTTCTTTTATCCATGGTATATTTCCTTTTTCTCTATGATTGTAGGATGGACAGTGATTATAGGGTTTTGTATGTTACATGACAAAAACATTAGAAAAAAAAAATTGTATTTAAATAATAGAAAATAAGATATCCCATCTATTGTCAATTATCATATAATGTCATGTGACTTAACGTAAGTAACGTAAGTAAAGTTAAGGGGACAATAATTAGTGTACTTTTTTTTTAAAGACGAAAATATATTTTTTAATTTAATTTATTTCACGACATATTTATTAAAAATTTATTATTTTTAAATTTGAATTGAAAATGAGAAAATTTTCATTTGTAAACTTTAACGATTAAACTAATAAATATTAATAAATTTGTTAAATTAAAGGATATATTAATTATTATTCTCGAACTTGACCCTTCAGGTCAAGTGGCTCTAGTCATGCTTGTAAGGTTCATATTCTCCTTCCCAAGACAACGGTTCGAGCTGGCCCATGACAAAATGTTCAAAAAAAAAATATATTAATTATTATTCTCTTGTAATTTGAGAAATATACATTTAGGTTTTTCGAAAAATGTCCCAGATAATTATTGATGGTGGATTTTTCTCCTGTAGTTGGAGAACTTCAACTGCTATAGAAATAGGATACCAGAAAAAGTTATATCCATTACCGAAACATCTGCAATCACCATTGCTTTTAGCATTTATACATGGAAATTGCATGTTCTTATTTTTTCAATTCTGAATAGCTGGGGCTAGGGAAGAAAATTATTTTAAAAAACTAAAGGTGTGGAAAGCTTTTGTTAGTCTTATCTTATGTTATATTAAAGTTAAAATTAACGTAATGTATGGGAGGTGGGGAAAGAAAATGGTTGAGTCGTTGGGTTTTTGTTTTCATTCTAAAAAGGCAGACATGACATAAGCAAGGGACCCTAATATAAAGGCGTAAAGGCATGTGGGAATGGGATGGAGAAGAAAAGGTGATCCAGCCTTTTCAATTTTTTCATTCTTCTTCTGCTTTTTCTGCATCAAGACAAAACAAGTGGAGCTTTCTTTGTGATCAAGTATATACTTTGAGCTGGACCTAACCTTATAAAATAAGATAAAATTTACTTTGCTTTTGGTAGCATGATCTTATCCCCCTTCCATCTAATAATTAACCTTAGGACCCCTTAAAAATCTATCATAATTTCTCTGTTTCTTTTATTGACATGGGTATGCATATTTTTAGTTGGATTCATTTCACATTATTTCACATTTAGCTATAGACTGTTTAGGTATACAGAAACTTTTATTCAAAAATAATAGATGTGATTTATTAGAATTGTTTTAGCAGAAATGATGATGGAAGAATTTAAACCTAAATTTAAGGTATATTGTTACTCTCTTTTTTTTCTTTAACTTTTGAAAAAACGTCTCTTTCAATAAGATTATATTCTCTTGGGCCAAAAAAGAATGATGATTATATTCTTATGAGATTACTTGGTTATTAGCTGTACTCATTCTCACATCAGTGTAATTAATTATGATCATGAATTGAATTTT